GGGCTTGAACTCAGAGCCTGGGCATTGTCTCTTGAATTGTATCCTCAAGGTGACTGCTCTAGCATTTGAGTCACAGCTCCACCTCTGGCTTTTTGGTGGTTAATTAGAGATACAAGTCTTACACATGGACTTTCCCTCTTGGCTGGCTTCAATGTTCCTCAGATCTCAGCCTCTTGAGTAGCTGGGATTACAGTCATGCACCTGACCAGTGCTGTATCTTTTGAGACTAGTACAGAATATAGTAGATGTACAATACATATTTGATTATTAGCCAAATTAACAAAAGGTTTAAATGTTATTTTCTCAATGGGTTATCATTTGAAACTCAGTAGTCCTATCAACACAACAATGTAACAGAATATTTCCAGAATATTTAGAATATTTAGAACAGAATATTTAGAACTCTTAGAATCTGACTTACAAGGAATAATCAAAAATGAAACTTACATAGTGATACAGAAATAAACAGAGATATCAACTCTGGCCCAGTCATTAACTAAAGTTATATTAATGTTATGTGCACTGTTGATTCATCAATCTACTGATATCAATGCATGTAATATTCTGTGGCCCTGTTCTTATCACTTTAGATTCTCAAAGTTAATCATATCTTCTGATTCAAGCAAGCAATAATGGACAATATGAAAATTTTATACTCGATGATGAGCTGTCATGTGATACGTTCATTGAATCCTCTATTGGGCATCCATTGATTATTGAATGATTCAATGGAAAAAGTATAGGCTAATTATATGTGGGTTTTATATTTCTTTTTTTTTGGGGGGGGTCTGGTCATGGCACCTGAACTCAGGGCCTGGGCGCTGTCCCTCAGCTCCTCAGCTAAAGGCTAGCGCTCTACCACTTAAGCCACAGTGCCACTTCTGGCTTTTTTCTTTTTGCTTATGTGGTACTTAGGAATCGAACCCAGGGCCTCAGGCATTCAAGGCAAGCACTCTACCACTGAGCCACCTTCCCAGCCCGGGTTTTATGCTTCTTTGAAATAAGATGCTACTTAGAAAACTAAAATAAGTGAAAGGATAGCATTACTCAGATATTATTCTAATCACATTTAAAAAGGACATTTTTGAATAGAATGATAACTAAGCCAATAAGCAAGATTGTTAAAATCGACAAAACATAAAGATAAGCAATATTAACTTAATTCAAGTAGAAATTTACTCGGGCAATCTACTTTATCTTCTCATTTTAGGGAAAATTTAAGAATCTTTATGAGTCTTCTAAATTTAATGGGTATCTTGCACATATAAGAGATGCAACTAGAGGACTGTGAAAACAAAAGTCTGGAAAATAGGAAATTTATATGCTTTCCCATTTGAGCTTTGAGTTTCTTGACTTCTTGAATACTTGCAACTACATGATTACTCTTGGAACAGAGGTAGATTTTTTGCTTCTAATCTTGTTCATTGTTCATTAAGAATACATTTCATCAGAGAGAAACCATTATTAAATATTTCAATCAGTTTAGCAAAACAGACCTCGAATGCACAAACTCTAAGTACTTCCTAGATATTTCCATACATGTTATTCCTAGTGTTAAGTTTTAATCAAGTGTTTCAAAATAAAAACTAGTGCTGCTTGATCTCAGGAGTTAAATGTTTCTATTTTTCCTTTAATAATTCTAATCTCATTATTTTACAGAAATTAAATCTTTTTAAACTAAAGTGTCAGATAGTGACAGAATTATTTAGTTGTCTGCATGAATGCTTGTCATTGTTTTTCCCCAGTGAACAAATATTTCAAGTGCACAATAAAGAAGGTCAATTAATTGAAAAGCATCTGACTAGAACTTTACCCTATGAATAGCAAATGATCTTATTTCTCTCTCTTTGGTACAGTATATTATAAATGGAAGATAAAATTAACACTATTATGTGTTCTTAGTAGAGGTTATTAAAATAAACTTAAAGTAATTATTTATTTTAATGAGCTATCAGTGCTAGAAAATAACTGAGGAAAAAAACAGAAAATATAAATCATCATGAAGTTTTTACAAACCTATATGACTTAAACTATTGTTCTATTTTTCCTTCAGGTATAGAAATTCTATCATTGCCATTCATCAATAAACTTAATTCTTTCTGTTAGCAATTCTCCTCAGTCTTTGTTTCCCAGGCATTGTCAAAACAACTGAATCTGTGCTATTATAGAAATAAATTTTGGTAGACTACACCAGCATTTTCCTCTGAGTTGGCTACAGTGTTGTTTTATTTTGGTGCCAGTCCTGGGGCTTGATCTCAGAGATTGGGCACCACCCCTGAGCTTCTTTTGTTGAAGGCTAGCACTCTACCACTTGAGCCACAGCTCCATTTATACCTTTTTTTTTCTTGTATGGGCTGGCTTTATTTTTTTATTGTGAAAATACTGTACAGAGGGATTACAATTACATGGGCAAGATAATAAGTATATTTCTTATCAAGCATTGTAGCCTCCTCCTTTGTTTCCCCTTCCCATCCTCCTTCCGGCCCCCCCAATCCTCCCCCCCACCCCCCACCCCTGCACGAAAGTTGTAAAGTTCGTTTTCGACATAACGACTTGTACATCCCATTGTTACAATGGGTCCACCTGTATCCTTATTTAAACGATTTGTTTTTCCCCTTCCCCTCCACAAATTATACCAACATCAAATACAGTGAAAGCAGGGGTTATACTGTGGGGGAGGGACATACAAAGCAACAAAGAAATCATCTTATAAATGTGTAAGAAACAGTCACATGAAAGAAAAAAAAAACATTTCAATAGATATCTTAGGGTTCATTTCCCTAACATCACCTCACTTATACCTTTTTTGATAGTTTCTTTTTTTAATGGAGATAAGTCTCACAGTCGTTCCTGCCCTGACTGGGTTCCATACACGATCCTCAAATCTCAGTCTCTTGGGTAGCTAGGATTATAAGTGTGAGCCACCAGCACCGAACCTACTGTGTGGCCTTTTTTAAATGCTACTTCATGAACATTATCTCCATCAGATTACTTTTTATAATACTAAATCATTCATTGCTGCTTAAAGATTTCTTTGACTAATTTGACTTTTGCCTTTTAAACCTAGGTTGGATATTTTCCCCATTTTATTATCTCTCATTGAAGGTGAGTCCCTTTAAACCTTTAAACACATAGATTTTTATACACACAGCTATTATTTTTAACCTTGTGATATGATACCCAGCTATCAACTACTTTTCTACTCATCTTCAAATATTTCTTTTGTTATTGAGCATCTTATACAAGTGGTCATTTTCGTAATGTTTAAAGAAATTAGTTTTTTTTCCCATTTCTAACTTCTTAACTTGTATTTACAAGTCTATTCTATTCCATGTATACCCACCATGGTTTCCTTTAGCATTCATTGACTGTGAAGAAACTGCAAGTTTTGCTGTGGTTGTAATCCACCCAATGATTTATTTATACCATTTTCATCAGACTCCCCTAAACATTTCAGATGGTCCCTAAAATCTTTAGGATATAATAACATTTTTGAAAGCATTCATGATCTCCACTAAGCTCACTCCAAGTAGCAATGCCTTCCATCCTACTTGCAAAACAGACATTTATTTTGGTGACTTTGTTTTAGTTTAGTTTTTGGTTTTGGTTTGGTTGATTTTTGCTTTCATTTTACTGATAGAAGCTGATTGACCCAACCTTCGAAAATATATAGTCACTGCCATTGCTTTCATTCATTTTTAACAATGATATAAGTTTTACTTTTTTAATCAACATCAATTTTTATTTCCTGATTTCTAGGATTCCAAATTCTTTACCTTTTCTACAAATAATCTTGTATATCCCTAGAGGACACTGAATCTACATTTTCTGATTCCTACATTTTATAAAATAATTTGTGTTTTGCTTGTAATTATCAAATACCTTAATCTGTACTTGCATTCTTTACAATTTTTATTCTCTCCTTATAAAAATAATGTAAACAAACAACTAACAGGTCAACATGTCCTGAGCACTTTTTTTTAACTCATTCTACTGGGTTAAAGCAATATAAGAATGAATAATATTACTTTTATTTAGTCCGAACTCTTAATACAAGGCATGTCTCAGAAGTTGATGTTAGGTGAAATGAACTCCATGGTAAGTATTCAAATGTTTTTGCTTTCATTCAATTGTTTCTAATATATTTATAAGATGATTTCTTTGTTGCTTTGTATGTCCCTCCCCCACAGTATAACCCCTGCTTTCACTGTATTTGAAGTTGGTATAATTTGTGGAGGGGAATGGAAAAAACAAATCATTTAACTAGGGATACAGGTGGACCCATTGTAACAATGAGATGTACAAGTCGTTATGTCGAAAAATGAACTTAACAACTTTGGGGGGGGGAGATGGGAAGGGATGGGAAGGGGAAGGAAGAGAAGGGAAGGGATGGGAAGGGGAAGAGGAGCCAACAATGCTTGATAAGAAATGTACTCATTATCTTGCCAATGTAATTGTAACCCCTCTATGGTATTTTCACACAAAAAAAGGCCTGTCTCAGAGAATGAATTGTATTTGGTGAATAAAGTATCATCAACACACTTGCTATTAAAATGACCATCTCCTAAATCTTCTGTGGAAGTATTATAGGCATAGATATTCACAAAAGGTTATGAAGGGACTGGAAGATCTATGTGATCTCAGGGTGTTGTCTATATTCAGAGTCAAACCAACCATGAATTTTAAAAACATGTTTTCTAAGTAATACATCTCAGCATTCTCACTCTTGTCATTGTATCTGACAAGTAGGCAGAAACCTATGATTTTTCAAACACAGTAAATAATACATTATTAATAATAGCATCCTGTTTGCAAAAGTGCACCTTACAGAAAACTTAGGATGTCAAAATTGTACAAAGCAGAGAAATAAAGCAGAAAAACAGCTTGAAACACATACACAGCTATGTACATGCTAGTGCTTAATACTACTTAAACCATTCAAGATATTCTGAAGCATTATTTTTCAAAGTATGTATGTAAAAACTTTATATTCTACATACCTGTCCAGTCTCCTACTATTTTAAGATGGACTCCAAATGTTGCTTTGGTTTTAGTTGGACACTGAAAAAAATAGTAGAATCAATTCTAATTAATAATTACATGTTATCAGATTAAAATTCAATGAAAACTTTTATTCTTATATAATTCCCCCAAATCAATAGATAAAATAAAAGTATAATCTAGCTCTATAGATCATTGCTTAAAAAAATGGTGATGTCAAGTAGGAGTAGAATTGTCAATTGGATAATCTATATGTCTAAAAACTCATAAATATATATGTGAAACAAAATACACACAAATTACCTATCAATTTTAGTATTACATTATATTTATTATTACAATATTATTATTACATTATTTAACTAAAAATCTAGATAAAACATGTTCCACATAAAAATATTTAAGCAAACAACTTCCTACACAAAGGAAGCAATGAAGACTAATGGTTCATGTGGCTTTTTCTCCTTAGATATGACTTGACACCTTGACAAATTACAGAGAAAAAAATATATATCTCAGTGTGACACAAATTTCCCATGCCCAGTTAAGCTATGTTCCTATAGGTCTTTCTTTTTCTCTCTATTGTCAGAATAAGTCTGAAGGGGACAGGTAGAGAATCAGTTTTAGTAAAGAAGGTAGCACAAAGAAAACACACACACACACACACACACACACACACACACAATGTGGCTCCATATAAAAAATTCCTTTATTCACAATTAAAAAAATAGCTTCAATGATGAATATTCCATAATTTATTTTACCATATCTAACTTTGCTGAAGGGAGATAAATGATAGGATGCTACTATTTCTGTATAATTATTTATACTGAATACTTACTGAATTCTTATTCAGTAATTTCTTTTTTCTTTTTTGTCAACCCTTGGGCTTGAACTCAGGGCCTGGACACTGTCTCTGAGATTTTCTGCTCAAGGTTACCACTTGAGCCACAGCTCCACTTCCAGTTTTTTTTTAGAAGTTAATTGGGGATAAGAGTCTCAGGGAAGCCAAGTGCTGGTGGCTCATGCCTATAATACTAGTTACTGAGATGAGAGGATCACACAACTCAAGCAGGAAAGTCTATGAGTCTCTTCAACACACTGGTATTCAAAAGGGAGAATTGGAGCTGTGGCTCAGGTGGTAGAGTTTTATCCTTGAGTAAAAGAGTTCTGAGACAGACCCCAGGCCTTAAGTTCAAGGCTAGGGCAGAAACACACACACACACACACACACACACACACACACACACGAGTGCACAAGGGACGTTTATCTCAGCCTTCTGAGTAGCTAGGATTACAGGTATGAGCTACCAGTACCCAGCCTTTCTTTCATTCTTAATTGCTGATAGGCTGACTTGCATCCTATTGGAGATATACTTAGGAATGTGGGGAATATAAAAAAAAATTCTGAGTTCCGAAAATACACAACATAAGGGTTACAGATAGGGAAACATGTCTGTAATTACTTTTTTATTTTAATGAAATACCACTTTCCAAGACAGTACTGTTTTACTTCCAAAAATTTCAAAATAATTGTGTACACCTATTTTTTATAAATAAGGAAAGTGAGTAACTGTGACAAATATTAACTTACCACAATCATGACATTAGCAAAAAGACAAAACAAAATTTGCACTGCATCTATTAAACTACATAGTTACTAACCATAGCAGCTGCTGTCTTCATTAAAGAGGAATACATAAGAAACCAAAGAATAGGAGAGAAAATATTTGTTGAAAATTACTAGACTCTATGTACAGCTGTTTGAATTATGGAGGAATGGGAGCAGAAGTTAAGAAAATAGCAGTGGTTATGAAGATTATATTATATAAAGCAATTTCAAGATGTCAGAAGTTACCGTGTTGACTAAGTGGTGTGGATCATGTAGGAATCCTCTAAGGAAAACAAATAAAGAATAACGACTCTATGATGATGTGTTAACAGCTTACCAAAGAAGTGGGGGAATTGAAAATCAGTGAACACATTAAATTAAAAGTAGATAAATGTTTAAACAGGGATACAGATTAACCATTGCAACAATGAGATGTACAAGACACTATGTCAAAAAATGAACTTTACAATTTGGGGGGGGGGAAGGAAGCATGTAGTTGAGGAGGTGGGAGGGAAAAGGGATGGTAGGGGAAAACAAAGGAGGAGGAGGCAACAATGCTGGATAAGAAATGTACTCATTACCTTGCTCATGTAACTATAACCCCTCTGTACAGGATTTTCACAATAAAAAAACGTATTTAAAAAAAAGTAGATAGGTAATCGTGGGTCATGCTTATCATCCTAGCTACTCAGAATGTTGAAACTTGGAGGATCTTATTAGGACAGAAAATCTTTGAGACACTATTTCCAATTAACCAGCTAAATATTGGACTAGAAGTGTAGCTCAAGTGGTACAGAATAAGCTTTGAGCAGAAAGCCAAGCAAGGGTGCTGAATTCAAACCTAGATATTAATCATCTGCTTGTATAGTATCTTCCATACAAATTAAAAGTACATGATTTATATTAAGGGATGAAAATTGTTGTAACCACACTATTACTTTAGAATCCATGTTTCTGATAATATTATTTATTATTGAAGAGAGTATGAGATTAAAATAATTGAATTTTAATGATATATTAACTAGTACTTATATTACTGTGTAATATAATAATTTCTAATTATGGTTCTATACTTATTTTTACATTCTAGTTTTTAAGAACTCTGAGAGAATCTGAGCTGTTCATTAGCATCTTTCCAAATAAGATGCTATCATCTATGTAAACCACCAACCGTTCTCAGTACATACTACTGAAGGCCAGTCAAGGCTTCTGTGTAGAAGAAGCTCCAGGTGTCAGGAAAAGCAAGAATCACAATCATGTTCCAAGAAAACATTCTGATAATCCAAATGTCACCTCATATTATTTCATATATCAGAAACTAGATCTTAGGTTATGAAAAATAGATACAGAAGCCAATAAGGCATCAGAATTAGAAAAAGAAATGTCCCCTGTCTGCTTGACTCTGCATCTTTTGTGACTTAATCATATGATGTATTCTATAAGAAAATATTTAGAATATTTTCCAAATATTCACATCTGTGTTCATTTCTTTCAAAGCAGAAGTTGCAAAAGGTAATTTTATATGTTTAACATCCCCCTTAGATCTCATAGGAGATTGTAAACCTTACTCTCCTAAATTCTGGCTGAATGTATGCTGGTACATAGCTTCAATGACTGATTTGGTTTTGAAGGATAAACATACTACTGTTCTTTTCAACTTCTTAGAAATGAGGCTTTTAGAAGTCATTGATATGTCTAAAAGCTAGGTAGCATTTAAAATAGGCTGTAATAAACCAGGCTCGGCTGGTCCAAGCCTGTAACCCTAGCTACCCAGGAGGCTGACATCTGAGGATCACAGTTCAAAGCTAACATGGGCAGGGAAGTCTGTGAGAGTCTTATCTCCAACTAAATCACAGAAAAAGCTGGAAGTGGCTCAAGTGGTACCATTCAAGCGGTAAGAGATAGCTTTCAGCAAAAGAAGCTCAGGGACAGCTCTCAGGACTAGTGTTCAAGCCTAAGGACAGGAAAAAATAAAAGGCTATAATATAATTTTTGCTTGAGCAAGTCAATTCATATTGCAAAAGGAGGGCCTTCACAGAATAAGATACTGGATGGCTTCATCTAATGTATGTGAGAAAATGAATGAAGATCCTAAAATTATAATTTAATATATTTGCTCAAATAATAGATTCACTAATACTGACAGTGTACGCCAGTGATTTTTAATGTTTTCTCACTGAATGTTTTAAGTTTCAGAAAACTTCTTAAAAGAAATAAATAAAAAGAAATATTGATGCCTATTGTTTCTTCTAGAATGTAAAAAATATGCATCAGGAAATTTTTCAGATAAAAAGGTAACAGGAATCTATGTGTGAACAACTGATACCCTTCCAGACCCATGATGTCAGGAAGACACTGAAATTTCAGTGTCAAACATACAGATCCATATTTTAAAATGATAGTAAATTCTAGAAGCAGAACACAGCATGAGAAAAACTGCAACAAAAATGGGAGTGACACGTGTGGAGTAAAGAGTATGTGTATCTGCAGAGGGTGTAGCCTGAGTAAAAGAAAGAAAGAAGGGAGTCTCAGAAAACACGTAGTATGTTTCAGTTTTGAAAAAGAGTCATTTAAAATAGAGGAGCAAGGAAGAAACAAAGGAGAGAGAGCAGGGGAGAGATAACTCAGTCAGTGAAATCATTAGGCCAAAGTGAAGAAAGGGGAAGAGACCAAAGAATGAGAAACTCATAAAGCAGAATTACAACTGGACTCAAGAACAAGCAGATGCAAGAGAAAGACATAAAAAGGATCCAAATAGGGAAAGAAGAGTTTAAACTATCCCTATTTATAGATAATAGGATCATATATCTAAAGAATTCTACAGACTATAACCCCAAGGTCCTAGAGCTGATTAATCACTGGCAAAATAGCAGTATATAATATTAACCCAGAAAAATCCATAGTTTTTCTGTATACCAACAATGAACAGATAGAGAGGGAAATCAGAAAAGTAATTCCATTTAAAATAGCCTCAAACAACAACAACAACTAGGAATAAGCCTATCCAAGACAGTGAAGGTCCTCCATAGCAAAATCTATAAAACTCTAAAGAAAAAAAAATCAAAGAAGACATTAGAAAGTGGAAAGACCTCCCATAGAATTCACGGAGAGGCAGAATTAGTATCATGAAAATGGAAATACTGTCGAAGTCCATCTACAGATTCAATGTAATTTCCTTCAAAATCCTCATGTTGTTCTTCACCAACCTAAAAAATAACCTAAAAAGTCACACAGACACAAACACAGACACAGACACAGACACACACATATACACAGACACAGACACACACACACACACACACACACACACACACACACACACACACAAAACAAACAAAAAAGGCCATAAACAATCAAAGCAAATCTGCTGGTGGAAAAGCAATGTGGGAGGAATCACAACTGCAGCCCTCAAACTTTTCTACAAAAATATAATAACAAAAACAACTTACACAAAACAGCTTACACACATACACACACAAAAACTCACACAAAAACAGGCCTGAACACCAATGGTATAGGCTGAAAAACTCAGAAATTAACCTATATTTGATAAGAAAGTCAAACATATATTGTTGGAAAAAAGATAGCCTCTTTACTATGTGTAAGGAAAACTGGGAACTACATCCTTATGTAGAAGATTGGGATTGGATCCCTATCTAATATCTTGCACTAATACCAACTCAAAATGGATCAAAGACCTCAATGTCAAACTTGGAACTTTGAATCAACTATAGGAAAGAGTAGGAGAAATATTCAAAGTTATTGGTATAGGCAGGAACTTTATAAGTAGAAAATGCCAGGTGCTCAGCAAATTGAAGAGAGAATTGACAAATGAAATTACATCAAACTAAAGTTTATGCATTGCAAAGGACATCATTACTAAGCAAAAAAGACAGCCTACAGGATGGAGAAGATATTTTCAAGCTATATATCCTACAAGAGCCTATATCTACAATATACAAGAAGCTCAAGTAATTACCCCCATAAATGAATAATCAAATTAATAAAAAGACAATGAGCTACAAAAAACATTTCCTCATGTGTTTATGGATCATTAGTAAAAACATGGGAAGTGTTCAATATTGCCCACCATAAAAGAAATGCAGTAATGACAGTAAGACTGGCCAGCATAAAGAACTGGAACAAGTGCAGGATACAAAGCAAAAGGAGCTCCATTGAGCTGCTGTGGAATGCAAACTATTCCAAACACTCTGGAAGGGGTTCTGGAGATTCCTCAAAACTGTAAACAGAGAACTACCCTATGATCCAGTGATAGTACCCTTGGGCATCTACCATAGCATTACAAGTCAGGATGCAGTAAAGACATTCGCAACTCCATGTTCATTGCTGCACTATTCACGATAGTCAGCTTATAGAAACATCCCAAATGCTCTAGAATGGGGATTAATTACCTCTATTTAAAGAAAGCTTTTAATAAACACAACATGACAAAGGTACTGAAGAAATAGAAGTAAAATGTTCATATCTCAACATAATTAAAGCTATATAAGCTAGAACTATAGCTAGTATTATACTCAGTAGAAGAAAACTGAAAGCCTTTTACCCTAAAATCAGGGATAATATTAGGCTGTCCACTATTGGCACGATGATTTACCATGGCTAGAAAAATTAATAAAATAGATAGAAATAAGAAAGGAATAAGTGAATATTAAGATATGATCCTATACTTAAAACACCATAAAGAAGACTTTTACATCTGCTAAAACAATGTAAGCAAATAATCAGGATACAACATCACCATACAAAAAAAAAATACTCTTTAAGATATATCAATAAATTCAGTGAAACTGAAGTTCTCACAGAAGTAAAATACCTCAGCATACACATAAAAATGACAAAGATCATTATGATGAAAACTACAAAGCACTGAAGAAAGAAATTTGAGAGCCATTAGATTAAAAGTTTTCCAAAGTCCATGAACTGGCAACTAAACATTGCTGCAAAAAATGGCATATTGCCAAAAGTGGCATGCAAATTCAACTCAGTCCCCAACAAAATCTCCATAACGTTCCTCATCAAATTGGAAAAATGGTCCTAAAATTCATATGGATTCTCAAAAAACACTCAACAGCCAAAAACATTTCTGAATAAACAGAACAAAGCCAAAGGCATCATATTACCAGACTTCAAATTATACTACAGGACTATAGTAACTAAAGAAGTTTGGTATTGTCAAACAACAATCACATAGACCAATAAGCCAATATAGGTAGTCCAGAAACACATATGGTTAGTACTTTTAGTAACATGTCCTTTCAATAATTTTTTGTGCTAATTCATAAACATGGGATGTCTTTTCCTCTTCTAAAACTCTTTGTTCAGTTCTTTGTAATTTTTACTGTAGAGATCTTTAAAATGTTTGATCAAGCGTATGCCTATACAATTTGATTTTTAATATTATGATGCTGGAGCTCCAGTGCCTAGCATGCAGTTCTTATAAAATATAATGAAGCTTATCAGAAGTGAGAAAATGCATACACAAACCTTGTTAACAAGTGATACCAGGAAAAGTGGATACCACTGAAACTAGATTTCCCTATATCACCCTGTCAACTCAAAATGAATCAAAGCCCTTGACATTAAAACCTGAAACTCTGAAACTACTGGGAGAAAACATAAAAGAAGCACTGCAATATCTAGGCATAAGAAGCAACTTTATGAATAGGACACCATTAACTCAAGAACTAATAGGAAGAAACAACAAATGGTATTTCTTCAAACTAAAAAGCTTCTATATAACAAAAGAAGCAATAGAATGAAGAGTCATGACAGCTTATGGCATGTGACAAAATCTTTGCTAGATTTCTCTGACAGAGGACCCATATCTAAAACATAGAAAGAACAACAACAACAACAAAAAACGAGCAACATATTCCCACCAATAAATGGGTGTTGGAACTGATCATTTTTCAAATGAACAATACTACAATTGAACAACAAATACATGAAATATGTTCAGCATTTTCAGCCATAGAGAAAATGCAAACCAAAATAACAATGACATTATATCTCATTTGAGAGAAGACATTAGATAGCTTAGTGAGAATAACTCAACCCTGAGCAAAAGACCAATGCTTAGAGGTATCAACATGACTTTAAGTTATACTGTAGAGCAACAGTAACAAACTGTATGGAATATGCACAACAACAGATGTACAGAACAATGGAAAGGAGTAGAGGATGGAGAAATGAGCCCATACAGCTATTGCCATCTAAATTTCAACAACAGAACCAAAACCATAGGTTTTGGCCTTTTCTGCTTGTCCTACACATGTACTAGTTACTGCAAATAAGGGAAACCATGGGACCTATGTTTCTTTGGACCTGACTTACTTCACTTAATATAATTTTTTTCCAAGTCTTTCCATTTCCTAACAAAAGCGGCAATGTCATTCTTTCTGATGGAGGCATAGAATTCCACTGTGTAAATATACCACATTTTCTTGATCCATTCATCTACTGAGGGGCATCTGGGTTGGTTCCAGATCTTAGCTATGGTAGATATAATGCTGCAATAAACATAGTTGTGCTGGTAGCCTTAGTAAGGCCTTGTTTGTGAGCATTTGGGTAAATGCCCAAAAATGGGATTGCTGGGTCATAGGGGAGCTCTATGTGGAGTCTTTTCAGGAACCTCCACACTGTTTTCCAAAGTGGTTGAACAAGTTTACACACCCACCAACAATGCAGTAGGGTTCCCTTCTGGCCACATCCCCTCCAGCATCTGTTGTTATTAGAGTTCTTGATTATACCCATTCTAACTGGGGTGAAGTAGAACCTCAATGTTTTTTGACTTGCATTTCATTTATGGCTAAAGAAGTTGATCATTTCTTCATGTGTCTATTGGCCATTCTTATTTCCTCTTCAGAGAAGTTTCCCTTTACATCTGTAGCCCACTTATTAAGTGGGCAGTTGTTTCTTTGAGGATTTGTTGTTGGGGGAGGTTAATTTTTTGAGTTCCAAGTATATTTTAGATATGCGACCTTTATCTGTTGTATGGGTAGTGAAGATCTCCCAATCTGTGGGCTTTCTATTGATCTTGCTAGCAATGTCCTTTCCCATGTAGAAGCTTTGCAGTTTCATGCAATCCCATTTGTCCAACAATTCTTTGATTAGTTGTGTCTCTATTAAGAAAATTTTGGCCTGTGCCAAGGAGCCTTATGGTTTCTCCTATGCCTTTCTGTAATGTTTTCAGGGTGTTTGCTTTGACTCCGAGGTCTTTTATCCATTTGGAGTTGATTCTGTGTACATATGACCAGATAAGATGATGTTAAACGAAATGAACCCTAAGATAGGGACATAAGTATCTTTTTTCCTTCTTGTATTTCTAATGTATTTATAATGTACCATGTGATTTTTTGTTGCTTTGTATGTTCCTCCCCCACAGTATAACCCCTACTTTCACTGTATTTGATGTCAGTGCTTACCTCTTGTATATACACTTCTGTAATTTGGGGAGGGGAAAGGAAAAAACAAAATGCTTAAATAAGGATACAGGTTGACCCATTGTAACAATGAGATATACAAGACACTATGTTGAAAATGAACTTTACAACCCAGGCCGGAGGGGATAGTTGTGGAGGGGGAAGGGAAAGGATGGTAAGGGGAAAACAAAGGAGGAGACAACAATGCTCAATAGGAAATGCACTTATTACCTTGCTCATGTAACTGTAACCACTCTGTACAACATTTTTACAATTAAAAATGTACAAACAAAAAGAAAAAAACATCCACTGAAGAAAAGGAAGCCTCTTCCACAAATGGCTTTGGGAAAACTGGACCATGCACATGCAGAAATCCAGAGCTACACCACTATAAAATTATGTTATTTGCAGAAAGTGTCTAGCAGTGAAAATCATCACATTGTAATTGAAATAAGCCAGATATCAAAAAAGAGGAAGACAGATATCAAGCATATCAAATATTTTCTCACATCTGTGGAACTTAGGCGAAAAAGAAAAAGAAATGAACATAGCATGAGTGCAAAATATGGGAACTGTTAGGGGCTAAGAACCAGAGCAGAGAAGAAAAGGAAAGGAACATGTAAAGGCAGTGCAAAGATGAGCAAAGTTCTTCTTATATATGTATGAAAATAGGATAATGTAACTGGTTAAAAGTTGTCAAAATGGGGAGAAAGGATAAAAAAGAGTGATAGAGAGGGTGAATTTGATCAAAGTACATTGTATCTATGTATGGAAATGTCACAATGAAACTTCTTAGCATAATTAAATACCCCAATGAAAAGGGGGGTAAAACTCTCCAAAAGCAAAAATCAGGGGGGAAAATGAAATAAGCAAGTTTCACAAAAAAAGTTTCAAGTGTTTTCTCTCACATGTGGAATTAGAATCTAGAGAGGGAAAAAGGAACCTGCTAGGCTTTTAGGTAATTATAGTGGTGAAAGAGGTTTTCTAAAAAAAGAAAAAGTCTGATATTGGATTTTATGTAATAGACTATTAGAATATTTAATCCCTAAGAAGTAAAACTGAAGACAGAGAAAATGAAAATTATAATATTTCATGCCCAGCTTTGTTTTAACAGATCTAAAAATATTCTATTTAAATTGAAGCACTAAAATGCTCCTGAGTCTTACTTTATTTTCCTACATGCTGAGAACAGAGTTTGGTTCATGATACATTTAATATAAATACAAAATGCCCATCATACAACGAGGAGGCAACAATGCTTGATAAGAAATGTACTCGTTATCTTGCCCATGTAATTGTAACTCCTCTGTATGGTATTTTCACAATAAAAAATAAAATAAAAGAAATGCCCATCATCTAAGTTTAAGTTGAAGAGAAAATTAAAATGCCAGATTTTGATTTTAATAACACATCTAAAGGAATAGCCACTTTGATATTTTAACATTATATACTCTTTCCAATTATGTGTTCAATATGATATTGGATTTTGTGATTTTTTTAAGTTTTAGCAAGGAATTTATTTTAGTCTAACAGGATAAAATAGCCTGAAATGAGTGAAAACGAAAAAAAAATCTCATACTCCCCACACAGGAAATGGAAGAAAAGGACTCTGACCCTGTACAAATGAGTAATAATTTTATAATCATGCTACAAAAGTATAAAAAGATGTTATACAACATGTTATGCAATTAATGTGAAATTATGTCATCACATAAAGGTTTATTCAACATAGAAAAAAGCAAATTTTTGCTTGTTTTTTCCCCTTTGGAGTCCATTCTTATTTCTACACTGTATTTTTAATATATTTTTAGTATAAAGACACTGTACAAAGGTAATGAGCTTTCCTATCAAGCATTGTCACCCTTTCCTTTATTTTTCCCCTACCATCCGCTCCCTCTCCACCTCCCCATCTTCTCCTTCCATCCCCCCTCAAGCTGTAAAGTTCATTTTCAACATAATGTCTTGTACATCTCATTGTTACAATGGGTCAACCTGTATACTTATTTCAGCATTTTGTTATTTCCCTTCCCCTCCCCAAATTAGAAAACTGTATATACAGGATGCAGGGCATTTGTTTTTAAATCAAGAGCCTTACAATAATAAACGTGATTCAAATTTGAACTGTGGAAATTTTCAATATAAACATGCTTTGTAAATCACAGAAAATGATCACAGA